GNAAGGTCGTCGGAACCGGGCTTCATAGGGTGGATACGATTAGAGGGAAGACATTTGGATTCCTAAAGCGAGTAACCTCAAGCCGTTGAAGTTACAACCGGGAACCGATTCCCACAATCCACATCTTTGTTGAAGGAGTTCAAGACACTCGGTAAATATTTCGTATTAGTATTTACTTTATTATAACAAATCAAAATTTGTATATGATGCATATTTTAAAGATGACGATCTGTTAATTTGCAATTAGTATGTACGGGTGTTGTATTTATACGATAAATACTTACTTTGAAAAATTTTAAATTCCGCTGCGTACAGCCCGTACGGTACTAACGAACCCAACACTCCTTCCCCGTGCAATTTGTAGTACATGTACCCGTTAGCCGGGCTTATCTTTAGTCACCTACCGGCTACGCTAACTTACGTTTATCGGTTAGCCGGGTTTACGGAATATTGATCCATCCAGACTGTCGTTGAACCATTTTGGCTCGAACTTCTCGATCCAGGATTGGAAACAACCAATAGTATATTGAAATCTATATTTATATCTATATATATAAAATAAAAATAAGGTTAATTTATTTTTATAAAGTATTTCCCGTAAAAAACATTAATTACCTACTATAGATAGAAATAATTCCCTTTGTATATAATTTCAAAACGCACTGAGCCTAAGTGGCAGCTTCACACGCTTCATAATCTTACATGACAAAATATTATGCTTATAATATGGCTTGGATAAAAATTATTATTTTTTATACCAAATAACTTAAGTTCGGATGACCATATATATACACATATTTATAATTAATATACTTAAATCATTTATCTTCTTTCTATAATCTGCATATAATCTTACTTTTAAATTTTGTGCTTTGTTCATATTATTCCCTTATGTGTTGTAAATAAAAATATTATAAATAAAGTTAATGATGAATATAAACTAGTGTTCATAATTTAAAATAATATTGTTAGTTCACTTAATTATTTATTATAAACTGTTATATATTGTTTTTTATTTATTTTTTCTAACTTCAACAAAATATATTTTTTTCTCATTTTTTATTGTAAATTTTGTTATTTTATTAATCACACTTGTAGTACACGGGTATTGTACTAGTATAATATATGTTTAAATAAAAAAGTAAATTATTAATGCATAGTTTCCATATAACTACGCTTCCATCGGATGGCTCGACTCTAATATCAACTGACGTAGAGAAGCGTACGAATGGGAAGGATAAACGAGATACTCTCTCGTAAAACACACAAAACTCACAATATCTTATTCATTTTCAAAATTCACCACCCCTATAACAAAAGAAGAGAAAGCTTTAAATAAGACACCTAAACATAAAACCTATCTTGTCCACCAAGTCACTAAATATAAATAAATATTAAATGCTAATATCAATATTATATTAATTAATCTACTAAATATTTAAATACCAAAAATAATAGATATTATTCTGCATCATATGTTTTAGTCAATTCTTAATTTCCTTTATTTACGATGATAGTTGTTTAGAGTTTATGTATGTTTTTAGTCAATTCTCATTTTCCTTTATCTAAGCTGAGAGTTGTTTAGTAGGCACAGATTGTGCAGATTTAGTAGAATTATTGACTTGGATGAGCATATATGCTATATACACAAAAAATAAGTTTATAGTAATATTTAAATTTATTTGACGCCGATTTTAGAATTCTCATCTATAGAGTATTCTTTTTTATTTTACCATATTTATTAGAATCAACGTTTAGATAGGCATATGTGTTATAAACACATAATACAATTTTATAGGATTATTTAAATTTATTTATAAAAGAACGATTTGTTATGAGAGATATACAACCTTACAAATCTTCTTTTTGTGATGACTCCACAAATCTATTTTTATGGTATTGTTATTTACAATTGTTTTTAAAAGCAATTTTTTTAAAAATTTTGTATGATAAATCGTATTTCTAATTTTCATATAGACAAAATATAAACATGCTATGCAAAATCTGTATCTATATATATAATTTACTATATAACAAGTTTTCATACTCCACAAAAGTACAAACTGTGTATCAGATTACGTACTAGTTATGATAGATTGTGTTTACTTATAATTGATTTCTCAAAACATAATTTCCATAAAATATAATATATTCCTCTAAGGAATAAACCAAATATCGTCTCAACATCATTACAGCGTGTTTTCATTTTTTTTTTTTCCACCTTACAATTTTAACAAAATAATTTTCCACGAATTAATATCCTCATCACCTAAAACCCCTACTGCTGGACCTCAGAGGCATAAATGGATCAACATCAATAGCCAAAAACATCAATAACACAAATCAGTCGAGCCATAGAAACACCACACAGTACATTATTCAGTACAATTTATATTTTTGTCTCAATATTTTAAGGGGGTAAAAAAAATCTTACACGTCAACTAGTCGTCTTTAGAAGCAGGCATCAAAAGAAGCTTCTCCTCGCGCTTTTCCCCACCACTCGACCTCTCCTCTGCCAAAAGTGACTGCAAATCGCTACCATTCGCCAGGCTGTTGAATTCAACGGCTTTGGAGGGCATTGTGGGGTAACGCCGTTGGGCAAAAGTCATGAGCCGCTTGATAGACTGTAGGTACTTTCGTGTGGTCTCGTCGTTCATGATGTGAGCCACGCTGTTGGTGTAAATCTTCTCGCGGGCCGAACGTTCGTGGATGCCAACCATAGTAACACCAATGGGCCAGGGAGCATTGCCAATTGCCAGCTTTATGTAGTGGTCCATTCCAGCCAGATAGTCGCGCCTCATGCAGCAGTCAACGATGTACATCAATGCTTGCCGAATATCGTCCGGAAGAACCTGGAAAAGGAAACTTATGAGTAAATAAACTATGAGTGTGTGTGTGTGTGTGTGTGCTTGGTAAGTACAATAAGCTAGCTTATAGCTTATTTAGTTAGCTCATACGCTTTCTATATACAAATAAGTTTGGTTTGGTAGGACTAGCTTTTCGAAAAAGATCGGCTTTTTTTGGTAGCTTTTCAAATAAGCTCGTTGAAATTTGCTAATTTTATCACACTTTTATCACATCAGCTAGCTTTTCAGCCATAAACTATCAGCTATAAGGTCAAAATCAACTTATAAGCTATCAGCTAGCTTATTACTTATTAGCTAGTTATTACTTATTAGCTACTTTTACCGCTATGTAAAAGAATGTAATAACCTGCCTTTTGTGCTGTTAATGGATATCAACATCACTACTGATAAATATTTCTTCATGGCAGTTGATTATCATAATAACAAATCATGTGAGAGAAATTACCAGATTACACCTTTCTAGTTCAAACTGTCAATTGCTACACAGTCTAATGACTGATGTTAATATGATTAATCGTTTATATTCAGATACTACAATAGAATATCACAGAGACAGTCGAAACAGCCGGCAGCAAACATGGCAGTTCTTAGTACTTTGCCCTCACATATAAAAAATGCAAACCGAGCTGAAAGTAGTGAACCGAAAATGATATTATCTTTGCAAAACAACCATAATAATACGCTTTAACTTCTTTGGCATAAAATTAAGCTACTTCAGACCACTAACAACACTAGGTTATGCATTCAGCCAATATTCCAAGAAACGAAGTCATGTTAGTAACACCAGAGGAATCAACACAACACTTGCATATGAGAAAACAATTCACCTTCTTTCTGCAGAACTTAAACAGCGGATTCAGATAACGAGCACACTGCTTGAATGTGGCCACCATTGACTTCCCCTTAGCCGTCCTCTTCTCAGCCTCACCCATCTCATTCAGCTCGTCATTCCACTCGTTGAGCAGCTTCTTGAAGAAGACGAGGATCTTATCCTCGTCACACAGATCCTCGAAATCCGCCTTCATCCGCTTCAAATCCTTGTCGTGATCAACACCTGAGGAAGCCCCATCCCCACTCAGATCCTTATCACCATCCCCACCGTCTTTATCCTCCCCAGCATCATTTCTGGATTTCCTCTTCCTATCACTCATAATCCCAGATTTCTGACGCTTTTTCAGCTCGACAATATCCCGTAAGAAATCGTTCGTCTGGCCCTCGGTCATATCACTGTCATCGACCTCGAACAAGCCGGCCTTCAGGACGTACTTGAGGCGGTCCAGCCTCGCCTGGTCGTCCTCACCAAAGAGGGTCACCGGCTGTTTAAGAAATCGGAGGCGGCGGACGACTTCCTGCCGGGGGAGGTTGAGGTCGTCGATGTTCTGCTCCTCAGCCAGGGATTTGGAGGAGGATTCAGGCTTTGATTTGGGGATATCCGGCTTGGAGCTAGGGTTGGAGGAGGAAGAGGTAGGGTCGTTCTGATGCTGTTCCTGCTGGGATTGCTTCTGGCGGCGGAGAGATTTGGCCTCGGCCTCGCGTTTCTCCTCTTCGCGGAGGCGCTGAAGGCGCTTCTGCTCGATCTCGGAGCGCTTGAAGAATTTCTTGCCGCCTACATCCTCCGCGAGGCTCTGCCGCTTTTTCAGAAGCTCCTGCTTAAGGATGTCCATGGTTTTTGATGCGGCGATTGCTGGCCGGAGGTTTTTGATGCAGCGATTAGGTTTTTTTCGTCGATTTAGGGGCACGGCGTCGGCGAGTATATCACGTTTCTTTCACACACATTAATTTTTGTCATTCGCTTGGCAAATAATTATGTGAAAGTAGCTTTATTTTAATAAAAATAATAATTGACTTGTAAATTATTTTCTTGAAAATAGTCAGTTTAAATTTAAAATTTAACCAATACATTTAGTCAATTTTAAAATTACAAATATTGAGATAATTTAAGTCATAATTTATTGTAAATTATTTTTTATTTATTATCAAATTCTTATATATTATAACAAATTAATTATTTAACAATTTTCGATTTCATATTCATATTACATATATAAAATTAAAAAAAATAATAAATAAATATAGTTTTCAATTGAAAAAAAAAATTATCTATCTTTTACATGATAGATAATTTATTTATTGGAAATATAGTTAGATATATATTTATAATTGAAAAATATAAATTTATCTATCAAAATATAATTTTTTATTTTGTTTTTAAAAATTTTATAAATAAAATTCTGAATTAACTCTTAACTTAATACATGGATAATTATAGTGCTAGTTACCTTTTGGGTAAATGTAAAAATATATTTTGAAAATATATCTCACTGAAATATACTCAATTATAATTTTCAGTTTTCACAGTAGAAAATGTTTAAGGGACTGGGCTGGGCCTCATAAAGGAAAGCAGTGGAAAGGGCCGTTGGAACCCATCCTCATGGGTTGGGCATCAGGCATGGAACAGACGGCAAAAAGACTTAAATAACCACCCCATAAGATTGATTTACATAAAAGAACTTGATATCTGTGAATTCCAAAACTAGTCTAATACATTCCAAAGGAATGTAAGGGAAATTTACATAAGTAAGTAACTTTTAAAAATCATTTACATAAAATAGACTGATTTGGGAGACTTCCAAAATTATTCCTATTCATTCCAAAACAACGCGAATAGTTACAATTAGAAGTTGCATAAAATTAATTTAATAATTAATCCAATAATTAATCGATCTCTCCATCCTCTTTTATTTCTCTTTCTTCCTTCTCTCTCTTGTTTTTCACGTTTTCCTATCTTCACTCTTTTATTCTCTCCCTTTTCTTCATCTGATTTCACGTGTCCCATCTCTTCTCCTGTTTCTTCTTCTTTTTCGTTTTCAAAATGAATGCCTAAAAATAGCAACACCAAAGAAATAATTAAAAAAAAAATGATCAGCTAAGTATACACATACATAACAATTAAATTAACTAAAAAGAAACACAAATATTTGTTTTGTAACTTGAAAAATTAATAATTAATATTATGAGAAACATACAAGTAACAATAAAACAACATTAAAACATCGGTAAAACAACATGAAAACAACTTTATATTTACAATAAAAAAATTAACAATTTTGGATTAGAATCAAAATTGCAATTGCCTTGTCCAGAGCATCACTAAATTATACACTAAGAACACACAACAACTCCAACATACCACTAAAAATATCCAAAAAACAGTAATTACACATACAAAAATACAGGACATATAACTCACCGTACAATGAGTCCACCACTATCTTTCAACAATTAAACAAAACATATCAACACATGCAAACACGAGGACAGATGTAACTTTACAAAGAAAAAATAAAAAAAAATTATAATTTTTGCAAAGATACAATTTTCCAGGTGGGTTTTTTCTTTTTTTTTGTCTTTTAATCTTTCTAATGTTGTGCCGTGGGAATAAATTGATTTTCCATCAGAGAGAAAAAAAGAATATGGCAAACACAATAGTCACCTGTACAAACACAATACACGCAATTTTTGTAATTTTTTTCTCTTCTTTGTGGAAGAAGATGAACAGACTGTAGAGAAAAATCAATCATTTCACAACACAAGTCAATAATAAACAGAAAAAAAAGGTTCAAAAGTGCTATTTTCCCCAAAATACACAACCAATTGAAGGAAATCAAACACACCCTATTAAAAAAAACGAAAATGGTAAAATTGAACATCAAATTACCAGCAATGGAATAGTCGTCCTTGGACTGCACGTGGCCAACTCCATGGGCTGATCGGATTCGAAGGTATCGTTTTTTGGTGAGGAGCAAACTCCCTCGGATTTTCCAAATAGCCCGAGAGAGGGCGTCGACGGTGCGAATCCACCCACTAGGAACAAAAGTGCTGGATAATCGGCGTCGAAATTATGCCATAATTTTTTGGGTGTAACCGGCGTAATTTTTGGGCGGATCTGAGAAGAATAGGAGATAAAATAGAGAAGAAATAAAAGAGAGAGAAATGAGACGAAGAAGAAAAGCTGAGGAAATAAAGAGATGATGATAAAAAAGAAATAACCGTCTGAGAGGTAGAAATTGAAATAAAAAAAGGTATTTTTGACTAACTGATAACTAGAGTCAATTATGTAAACAATATTTATTAAAAGGTGTAGGGTGTCTTTAATTCGAATGTAAATAACAGTTACATAAATAAACTTAATAAAATAATTGTTTCTCTCTCTTCCTTATTTCTCTCTTCTTATCACGTTTATTTTATTCCAAAAAAAAAAAAGTAACAAAAATAAAAAATGATCAATTAGTACTACTACGTCTGCAATATGATTTGATTTTCATCAATTTCTGTCCTTTTTTCTTAGTGTTAAAAAAAACAAAAAAAATAAAAAAATTACAAAATAAACATATATTATAAGAAGTCTGAAATTAGATATATTAATAGCGGAAGAGATATAAACAAGATATTGAGCAACAACTAAGTAATAAAATTACAACTAAAAAACACCAAGAAAACAACATTAAGTTAACCAAATAGGAGGGAGATGGAGAAAGGAACGAATCACAGTGATGCATGAATATTTAGAGCCCATAACAACAAATTCTAGATGTGCATAAAACTTGATTTTTGGGACACAAAACAACAATAACTTACCACATTTTAGTCATTTTCATGCCAAAATCTAATTTGAGTCGCAACCTCAAATGAATAACAAAAGCTGAAACCCATATCAAGACATGTCAAAATAGACAAATTGAATTCAACACAACATTTTTCAAGGACTAAAAAACACTAATTTCATAAAAAAAACCCAAAAACGAAAAGAAAAAAAACGAAAAGTAATGGAGGCAGGCGAAGGACAGTTTCCTCTATCTTAATCGCGTCCAATCCGATAATTGAAAAACATTAAAACCCACAAATTAAAGGGGAAAAACCAAATGAAAAGAATAAGGATTTAATTGATCAAACGCAAAAGAAAAAAAAAATAATTTAATTGGGTGATTGATTTTACAGGGTCTTGTAGCTGTGGCTTCGTGTCGTCATTGGCAAGCCTGAAAAGGGGTTTTTTACGGGTGTCTTCTCTCTTTTAAGTCTCTTCCCGTCGTTAGATCGCCGAAACTTGAGATGGATTCATCTTCTTTTAGTTTCAGAACACTCTTTTAACGGTACGCACGACGGCTTGGAAGACGAGGAAGATGTTGGGGATGGAATAGTCCATCGATCGCCATCTATAATTGAATTTTTTGGGGGATAGAATGGTTTGAAATTGTTTTGAATTCATTTTTCAGAAATGGAGAATTGAATTTGATTTATGAGGGAGATAAAAAAGAATGAAATTGGAAAACAAGAACCAAAGAAGATAAGTTAGACACGTTCATATAAGAGGGAGAAATAAGAACTAAAATAAAAAATAAAATAAAATAAAAATTAAAACCGCTACTTGATGTAAAAATGGAAATAGAAACGGTAAATTTTTTATAAATCCCTAATGCACATTTCAACTTCCTTGTTAGTCTCCATCACTTTTAAACTTCTTCTCCACTCCCTATATCTAATTTCTCTTTCCACATCACTCCTCATATATATACTACTCTTATTATTATTCATTTATTTTGTCTTATTTTCACCAAAAATTGAAAGCAGAAGCTCGTCTCTCTCCCCGTTCAACTCGTCTCTCTCTCTCTCTCTCAAAATACCATCTCTCTCAAAATACCGACACTCTCTCTCTCAAAATTTCATCGTCAATCGTCTGTCTATCTCTAAAAATTCCATCTCTCTGTTCGTCTCTCTTTCTCTAAATTCCATTGACGATCGTCTCTCTCTGAAAATCGCCGGGCAATTCTGTGGAAAAATTCCATGGCGGGCTCGAAAAACCGTCCCCCTTGCCATTCTACATCCGATAAACCGTCCTCCACAATAAGTAAGGTAAGATTTTGGGGATTTTTCAATAATTTTGAATTTTTTTCTTCAATTCGGAATTTGGGGGTTTTTTCAAAATTTTGAATTTTTTATTAAATTCGAGATTTTTCAAAGTTTGATATTTGGTTGATGCTAATGCACTTCGAATTTGAGTTTTATATCACCAATTACGAATTTTATTTATAAATTAGGGCTATTCGCATGTCTATGATGGTTGATGCTGGCTGCAGTTACTTAATCTTGTGAATGATAGTTTATTTTCAATTAAAAAACTAATGTTTCACACAACTGCCTTTGAAATCTCATTGTTTCATGTTAATCTCGGAATAGTTAGCTGTTTTTGTTTATTAATTGACGAATGATTTTTTTTTTGCTTTATTATCTGTTACTGAAACACCAGTCTATCTAGAATCGAACCAAATCTTGACTATGGACACATTATAACTGTTATAAGAGTTGCTCCTTGATTTTTTTCATCTTTCTGTGAATTAATGTTAAGCCATGCAAGTTTTTGATTGCTCACTAACTAGAGAAGTGTAGTCTAAAACCACAGTCCCAGAAGTCCTCAATCAATTTACTCTTTCAATAGGTATGAGTAAAACTGTTGTGTAAATTTGTTTATCCTCTAATGATGGTTTTGCTTTGACTAGAATCTATATTACCCATTGTTTCTTTTGGTTCGATGACTTATTTAAATGGCCTTTTCAATTATATATTGCCCTGCAAGTACTTACTGACATGTGAGTATGTACAGCGAAAATATACATAAAATTCAAGATTCAAAGGTTGCTCCAAACAACAATGATCACTTGTTATGATAAGCCATTGGACATTTTTTTTTTGTTATGAGATTTTTTTTTTTTGGGTATGAGATATATTATATGAATCTTGTTGTTTTAGAGAGAGATGCCTCTCAATCCATGTGTTATTTATTGGAGATGCCTCTCGTGCTTTCATCAAATATGTTTGACAATTGACACAATTTTGGATTGTTGCTAACTACTAATTGCAATTATGTTTCAATTTATTTTTCAGCTTAATATAAATAAAATTTATGGGAAGACAATTAAAGACGCTAATATAATATGTTTAATGAAATAGCATCATCTTATAGGCATCCATATTCCATAATCCATATGCAGGGTATATATTGCACAAGATATCATCAAAATTTCTCTCCATATATATTTTTTTTTATTAAAAATATTATGGCCTGACTATCTGATCATTTACTTATAAAAGTTTTAATTTTTAAATTAATTTTCAAATATTTAAGTTTCTAATCAGTAGTTAAGCAAAATAAAAAATTACATAATAATATTTCGTGAACATTTTGTGAATTTTATTGATAAATTAGGGCTATTTGCATGTCTAGAGTTTTATTAATTTATTTGAGTTTTATTGATTTTGGTATGTTTATTTATAAATTGTTGTTGTTGTTGTTGTTGTTGTTGTTGTTGTTGTTGTTATTGTTTTATTTGAATTAGTTGTTGAATTTGAGTGGGTAATTGCTTGTTTGGTATTGGTGCTTCTGTTTGGTTCTTCATTGTTGAAATGGCTGAGGAAATGGAGTAGGTGTGTTATATCAATTTGAATATGAATTAGGGTTGCGGTGTTGTTTGGTGTTTTAAATCAATTTGAATATCAATTAGGGTTGTGGTGTTGTTTGGTGTTTTATATAATTTTGAATGAGGTGGTGTTATTGTTAAAATGGGTTGAGGTGTTGTTATTGTTGAATTGTATCGTTGTTTATATCTGTTTCTTATGTTTGAAATTGTCTTTATTTTATTTGTTTTTGATAGGGCACCGAACTAAGATGTAGGTGTGTCCCCTCATACTTCAAATTCTTGGTTGGCGAGCTAGTTCGCCATTCCCAATCGAGCGAAGATCATACTTCGATGGATGTGCTATTAGTTTGATTGTTTGATGGATGATTGTAATTTTATGGATGATGGTTTGTGGACCAAGTAGTTTGAATGGATGTTTTGGATTTTTTTGATTTGATTCCTAATGATACCTGTTTTCTTAATATTAGTACCGCATTTTTGGTGTAAAACTACTCATTTTCGAGTAGCTAGTACTCATTTAGGGATGTGTTTTTAAACTGTATCCCAATTTCTATTCATAGTAGTACCTATTTTCTTCACAATAGTACCAGTTTTGTATTGTTATAGAACCGGATATTAGCTCATCATTACCACTTGTAACGAACACATAAAACACCGAATTTCGGTCTCAAATGATGTTTACATGACAAATAACCACTCTCACACTAGTTTTTATGAGATTTATAATGTTTTTAATTAAGTTTAATTGTAAATTGGTCACGAACTCGACACACTAATGAAAAAAACACTACCAACACTTTATCTCATTAAAACTGTACCAGTTTTAGGCAAAATAGTACTGCATCTTCTTCTACGTGGTACCTGCTTTTGATCGATTAGTACCTGCTTTTGTGAAGAAAAATTGATTATTTCAATTGTGGTCAACATTTACAAAAAGTAGTATCAGTCATAGTGTAAGACAGTACCACTTTATGGCGTGTTAGTACCAGATATCGTCTCTCTAGTACCACTTGTAATGAACACATAAGAAGACCGAATTTCGGTCGCAAATGATGTTTATACGACCCATAATCACTCTCACATTAGTTTATATAAGATTTTAAATGTTTTTTATTGAGTTTAATCGCAAATTGGTCATGAACTCTATACACTAATGAGAAAACACTTACTAGACTTCATCTCATTGAATGACACACTTCATCTCATAGAAATAATCATACATGACTACTTCAAATTCTACCTATATGTTTTCAATTCCAATTTTTTTCATCCAAATCACGTGTGAACGATCCACGTGTCATGGTAGACATGAAGGATTAAAGAAATCATGATTCTGATAATAGTACCGGTTTTGGGCAACATAGTACCGCATCTTATTCTGCGTAGTACCTGATGTTGATCGAATAGTACCTACTTTTTTGAAGAAAAAATGATTATTTCACTTCTGCTCAACATTTACAAAAAGTAGTACCAGTCATAGTGTAAGTCAGTACCACATTATGGAGAATTAGTACCAGATATCCTGTCCCTAGTACCACTTGTAATGAACAAATAAGAAAACCGAATTTCGGTCGCAACTGATGTTTATACGACCCATGATCACTCTGACATTAGTTTATATAAGATTTTAAATGTTCTTGATTGAGTTTAACCGCAAATTAGTCATGAACTCGATACACTAATGAGAAAACACTACTACTAGACTTCATTTCATTGAATGACACACTTCATCTCATAGAAATCATCATACATGACTATTTCAAATTCTACCTATATGTCTTTCATTCCACTTTTTTTCATCCAAATCACGTGTGAACGATCCACGTGTCATGGTAGATATGAAGGATTAAAGAAATCACGATTCTAATAATAGTACCGGTTTTGGGCAACATAGTACCGCATCTTATTTTGCGTAGTACCTGATGTTGATCGAATAGTACCTACTTTTTTTGAAGAAAAAATGATTATTTCAATTCTGCTCAACACTTACAAAAGGTAGTACCAGTCATAGTGTAAGTCAGTACCACATTATGGAGAGTTAGTACCAGATATCTTGTCCCTAGTACCACTTGTAATGAACACATAAGAAAACCGAATTTCGGTCGCAAATGATGTTTATACGACCCATGATCACTCTGACATTAGTTTATATAAGATTTTGAATGTTCTTGATTGAGTTTAATCGCAAATTGGTCATGAACTCGATACACTAATGAGAAAACACTGCTACTATACTTCATTTCATTGAATGACACACTTCATCTCATAGAAATCATCATACATGACTACTTCAAATTCTACCTATATGTATTCAATTTCTCTTTTTTTTTCATCCAAATCACGTGTGAACGATCCACGTGTTATGGACCTATGGTAGACATGAAGGATTAAAGAAATCGCGATTCTGATAATAGTACCAGTTTTGGGCAACATAGTACCGCATATTATTCTACGTGGTACCTGATGTTAATCGAATAGTACCTACTTTTTTGAAGAAAAATTGATTATTTCAATTCTGCTCAACATTTACAAAAAATAGTACTATTCATAATGTTAGTCAGTACCACATTATGGAGAGTTAGTACCAGATATCCTGTCCCTAGTACCACTTGTAATGAACACATAAGAAGACCGAATTTCGGTCGCAAATGATGTTTATACGACCCATGATCACTTTGACATTAGTGTATATGAGATTTTAAATGTTTTTGATTGAGTTTAATCGCAAATTGGTCATGAGC